TAATAAAAAATCTTTAAATTTAAATAAAAAAATAATTAAACTGCACAAATTCAAAGTAGAATTGACGATTTGAATTTAATATATTTCAAATTCAAATTCATTTATTCTCAGACCAATTAATAATATAAGTTCGTTAAATGAACTTGTTTCGGAGCAATTTTTTCATCACTGAAATTACTGTAGCGCTTGAACCGAGGGCCGATCTGACGAAAGGAAGAACCAATTGCCGCTAAATCAATGGCAGACAATAATATATCATGGGTTTGGGACTTGAAAAGATATCGTGAAAATTTGGCGGCATACCTATATACGAGTAACAGTATTAAACTGGCAGTAGATACTATATCCAAAAATATTTTAATATCAAATTGGTAAAACAGAAACTAAATGTAGGTCCGTTGAAAGAAGGTCAAAATAAAAGGTTACATGTATGTAAGACGATCTTACAACAACAAAAACATTTCAATAATTAATCATTTAAATATAACCATTTATTTTATTTCTCATTCACTTGATCCCATCACATCAAAACTTTACTTATTCACCGTAGGGCTGACAAAAAATGGCGGGTTTTTGCAGTTATAGTTTTATCACAAATTAACTTTTAGTTTAAATATTTTTACTTTTTGAGTTTCTTAATTATTTGTTATTTGCTTGAGCTGATGGGTAGCCAATAGCCATGAATGCTCAACAAATAAATAATAATAAATAATATGAAGTCAGTATTATAGCGTCCGCATGACGCACTTAATGGCAATTTGGCATAAAAGTGAAAATGCAGAAGCAAAGTATTCGTAGAAGATAGAAACCATCTGTAGATATTTTTAATTTATCATATTATGCGATTCTATAACTCTTGTAGATACTTATTCCGGATAATGTTTCCGTTGATTTTAAGAATTAACATTATAAGCTATTTCAAAACCGTCCCGAAAAGATTGTCATGATAAAATTAGATTTTGTATTATGTTATGCTTTATTATTCTAAGTGTTATTCTATGTTATAACGTAATTAAAGTATTTATTATGCATGTCTATTCAGATAACAATCTGCGAGTTGTTTCACTAATATTTTACAAAACAAATAGAGGGCATTCTTGAATTTATGGATGTTAGTTTAGTATCTCGACATACGAACACGACAATTAAAGTTTAAGGGGGATGAAGAAGCAACTTTTTTAAACTAAGAATGTCATTTTGTTTGTTTCAAGGTGGTAATTTTTGTTAGTTGCAGAAACATATACCCAGATTCTGCGAGAAACGCATTGACTTTTTGTAAGTCAATGGAGAAACGGGAGTATGGCGCAAACTGGACAATGCCCGTGATGGAGTCAGAAACAAAAACGATATTGCCCATTTCAACCAATCACAGAGCTTTTTTTTTTCATAGATTCAATATGGCGTTTTTGTAACTTTTTGTAAGGAGATTACGCTTGAAAGTTTTATTGTTTTTTTTCTATTAAAATGGAAGAAAATGTGCAACAGTTTGTTCAAAACTTTATAGTGGAAACGTGGAAGACAACCCGCGAAAAAGCAAAAAGGCGAGTTTTGAACTAAGCCAGATTTTCAATACACAGATCCCCTAGTCAGTTTAAAATATTATTGACAACAAAATTTTTTTGCAGATGGAAAAATGTTTGCTTTTTAAATGCAGTTTTTGTTTTGGACTACATGTTTACAGATGCACCGAAAAGACTGCCCTCGTTTCCAATATGTCAACATTTTAATGGAAAATATAAATTACAAGGAAACTTTGATTATAACCATAACTTTGAAGGGAAAACAAGACAAGGACGCTTATTCTTTTCAAATTTTTTAAAGTAAAAAATGTGAAACGTCGTCGCCCTAGAGTAGGAATTCGAACGCCCAATAGATATCACGCAAGTGACAATAAAACAAGAAAAAAATCAACGATGTCGACTAATTATTGATAAAGTACTTCGGGAATGAATAGCATTATCTGCAATATTACAAGGATATCTGTGATGGTACAGAAGCGCATCAAGAAGAAGATGAAGAAGAAGTTTGCAAAACAAATCAAATTGCTACAGATTATACATTGATTTTATTTCTAGATGATTTTGCTTTGTTCCTAATTTCACAGACTGATAAGGTAGACTGTTAATGTAAATATACTATACTTAACTTGTCATAACAATATACTTTAATATCTCAGTTCATTCGTCGATTGTAATACTTGTACTTGGGAATATATAAATAAACAAGAATAGTTCGGTTCATGGTTTCTTTTGTTAAGATTTTCGTTTCGGCTGATACAAAGAATAATGACGACCTCCCTTATAAATTTTTCTTGACATAATTTGTATGTTTAAGTATGTAAATTCTATATGTATATTTCTGTTTAAGAAAAATATGTGAAAATATAGAGTTAAATTTGTTCAGAAATTTAACTCTATATTTTCACATATTTGTTTTGGGTTTACTATTCTGAGAGCCTGGAATTAAATTTATTCCAGTTCGAAGTTTTGCAGTCATTTACATAAATTGAATAAAATATATAGGTATGAAATATATTCGAGGTATTCTTATATCAAAATAAACTATAGAAGTTTTAAACAAAGTTAATATGAATCATGCTGTGGGTTTGTGACGTGATGAAACTTCAGAGGAAATTATTTACTATAATGGTTTGGTCAAAAAGCATGAAGCTAAGCCATAACAAAAAAAAACTGAGTTAATAACATACTGGTAACTCGGACACAAATTATATATTTTCAGTACCTGCGTGCGTATCTTTCCATCCTCTGATCTGATCTGGTACTGAGAATCTTTTTTTGGCAGCTAGATGTCGTTCAATATTAAGAAATTAAGAAACTGACAGTGTAGATATACGTCCGGTTACATACTAATTAGTCATTTGATGATTTTTATAGTTTACCTTGAAAATCTAATGAATTATTTTATTCAATCTTGTAAATATGACTTTTGAAGACAAAAGAATTCTTTTATCAAAAATTTCGCCGCTGTTCTAGTCTTTTGCACTACTGTCAAACTTATGAAAATGGCGGAATCGTTAGATGCAAAATTGTCATATTGTACCCACCACATGTAAAGTCGTTAATATCCACTAAATTAATTCACTGGGCTCAACTCACACTGGCGAAGAGCGAAGCGTCGTGTCGCGTCTTGTATTTCAACTACAACGCAGGGCGACGCGCTACGACGCACGAAACCGCATGACTTTAACGAAGCGTCGACTCTATCGTCGACTTTATCGACGCGCGCTTCCATATTTGCAAAACACAAACTTGTACCTTATTAATGGGAAAATAGACATGAATATGCTATAGGCGAAAAACATGATGCGTCACGACGCTTCGACTCTGAGCCAGTGCGAGCCTTAATGTTATAGAGAATGGAAAAATTTATGGCCATCGTATTTAGTTTTTTTATTAGGGTGTTATTTGTTTTTGGTTCGGTTTTGTTTAATTTTGCAAATTTTAATACCAACCAATAGCTTGTAGATTTTTGTGACTAAGAGCCTATGCATACGTCGGATTTTATACGCGCCGACGACGCGAGTTTCACGAACGCGCGTTTACGGCGCCGCAGACGCGCCGCAGACGCGCCGCAGACGCGTCGTAGTGAATCGATTTAAACACGCGCAAACATCGCATTGCAAGCAAGAAGCTTATAACATAATACTCCACTGGAGTTTACACTTAGAATTACATGTAGTTGCTTCATTTCAAAAACTAACACAAAACTAAAACTATCTCTTATCAAAATGCGCGATACATAGGGGAGAAAGGGGTACCTTTGGACATTTTTTACATATCTGGTTGTAAAATCCTAAATCATTATTAATTACTTGTTTTGTTTGCTATTGATAACAAAAGTTTATAATACTGTCAGAGTTCCCATTTTTGTGAAGGAACTCAAATGTTCAAAGCTGCCCCACACATGGGGCAGTTTTGAATTTATCAATTAAATGAAAATTACTTATTTATTGCAATATATTTTTGTTAATATCCGTAAACAAAAATCTTTTATTTACTTTTTATTTACAATATATATGCATAGTTCTTCAATCTGTATAGTAAATCTGTAATCACAGGACTATTACAAAAAGAAGTTTGGACGAAATCGAAACTCAATTAAAGTTTAAATTATTAACTGCAATATTAAAAATAAATAAAAACTTTTCTTAAGTAATTAATTATAAAATCACATGAAGAGTACGAAACCGAAAAAATATCTTAAAAAAGCTTATCAGTACCACTAAACGTGTTCACCCCCCTTGATTTGTTCAAATCTGCCCTAATAGGTATTATTAATCTACAAAATAACAAAAATTTTTACATTTGTATTTGATTGCAAGCAGCAGGTTTAATATTTCAGCAATAAAACAATCCATACGACAAACAAAGTTAAACTCACCGTAATCTATTCTACCAGTCTATATATTCTACCAGTAATACCCTTACAACTATTTTTGAGAATGTTTACTTTTCGACGTTGAAACCAAACACTACCTCTCATTCAGTATTTGACGCGCGCACACTGACCGTTGCTACTGCTTGGTATGAGGTTCGGTATTACCATATTTTAACATAATTCCTACTATATTTTCATACAAACTGACTGCGCAAATGCGTTTGTTCCACGCTGCCCCTATTCAAAGCCCCCTTCTCCCTTACGCGCAACTACAGCACGTCTGCGGCGCGTATACCTACGCCGTGTGCGTCTTAATAGATGGCAATAAGATGTTGAAACGAAAAGATCTTGTTTTCTTGATTTGAATTCTCCAGGACAGAGTCTGCTTTGTTTGTATACTTTCCAATATCATGACTTGTATTGTAATGCCTAATGACTATAGGTAAAGCTAAGTAGTATTTGAGAAAAATCTTAGATAATTTTCTTATTTTTATAACATTCTGTGATAGTAACCTGATTTTACCTTTTTTCTTCAAATTGTTTTCTTCACTTAATATTAAACTCAACCTATCCTTTATTTTAATAAAAGGTAAAATACTCACTACAGAAATGCAGCAAGACATCACATAGTCTTGTGGGTAGAAGAGCGCCTCAGCTAGCCCCCATAACCCTCTCCAGACTCCAATCACCAGGGTTCCCACTACCAGCACGGAGAACACACAGTCCAAGAAGTACAATAAAGTATCGCCGGTGGTCTGAAAGTTTATAGATCAACCGTCGTAGGTTTTTTCCATGGCAGACACGACAGACTACGTAATCAAAAACAGCCGTATCATACGGACGAACACATTTAAGTACTGAAACCAAAAAATATGCAGATGTCTAGTATCGGAACAGACCATTTGCTGTTTTTGATATAATTTAATTAAAGTAGGTTTTGTGGAAACCTACATTCTAGTAAGATTGAATGAGTAGGTAAGTGCAATGTATACAATGGTTACTAGATTCGCATAACAACAGGACAATTTAATTATAGAAAAAGTGCATCATGGACTTATTTTACTGTGAATATAATAATATGCATATATAATATAAACCCTGAATACGAGGTATGTAATGTGTACTTTAGTAGAACTTACCGTTTTAAAAAAAGTGGGCACGTCAAAGTGATCACGAGGCGAGTCTATCACCAACACAAAAGGTATTGCACAAATGTTTTTCAAGGTCCGTAACGCTGCCAAAGACAGTATCGACGCCGCAGTGGACCACGAGAGCGCGGTTAGGCTTTCACCGCCCTCGTCCATGAGGTCCCATACGCCCCTAATTGCAGCAACGCAAGTCACTCCAGCAACACACGAGTATATCCTTGAAAGCACAAAGTATTTCACTCTCCCTTTATCCGGGCTGATGTATCCTTTCAGTTGGAACTGGCACATGCACAAAACAACGCTGCAGCACATCCCGAACACGGCGCTCACAAAGGCACTCGTCAACATATCATCTGGATAAACGTACAAATCTATGAGGTTCCATGTAGACCACCAGTACGCCAGCGTAGCGGGCGTCACCACCACGCTGGCGAACAACACATCTACACATTGTAAGAGCGTGGAATCAGTGTGCAATGTGCTCGGAAAATTGCCACTAAATCCCGCTGTGCTTCCACGCATGTCTAACAAAGGAATGCAATTTATAAAAATAAGACAGTGTTAAACACATATGTATTTCTTTATCTAACAGGGCCGCCGCCAGACCTGTACGCGCGCCGGTAGCGCACGGTTCAATCTAGAGTTCTCCAAAACTTTCCATACTCGTATATAATATCATCATATGACACAGGAAGTAGATGTCATTATAATTTCCCGGGATATTATTAAGGAGCGTAAAGCTCGCATTACGTCAATGTAGTGTAGCTAAGCCACATGCTACAAACACCTATTCTCTGTAATATAGTGAGATTCTACTAGACGCCGACCCTGATCTTTATCTGTCTACTTTATGATTGGCCGTGAAATCCCCCTTGTCGTAGGGTACATACGGCGCGGCGGGCGGCGCTTACACACTTCCCCGTTAACTCCTGACACACGGCATGGCATCGGAAGAAAAGCATCTTATTCCGCCATTGACTTACAAATAAATGGACGACGGGTCTAATACAAAAACCACGAAAAAAATGTCCCAAGTCAATCTACTCGAAATTTAAATTGTAATGTCATCGCAGTATCGCGCTGTCAGTAGAACAAATGAAGACTAAAGCGGAGTGTCA